CTCACACACACACACACACACACACACACACACACACACATACACACACACACACACACACACACACACACACACATACACACATACACACACACAGACACACACACTAATGTGCGCGTCCTGTCACTCCTGTGAGAATTATAAAACCCTCCCAATAATTGTTTCAAAAAGTATCGGGTAACATTAGCATCAGATTGCAGTCAGATTCCGCAGACGAACAATAGCCGGAGTAAAAATCTTTCTGCATTCACTATACAGAGAAGGGGTGGTGTTCATGGTACATGAGGGAATCAGAGCTAGATCTCAATGGTTAGCGTTGTCACATCTAGATTCTGGAGTGACATTTTCAGTCTCTTTCCTTCCATGAGTATTGCCAAAAGGGCACATTGACACCACGTGCAAGCGAACATCTCTTTTCCATCACAAGAACCTAAATCGATGAGCTGGATGGAACCTTTCTTGGTTGATCCCCCAACAGTCTTCAGCAATTATATACAGATTGTGATAGGGGCACACAACACGAGTGGTGAGTTGTCGAGTGTTGATAAGCAAGGAGATCTTTTAAGACTAGAGCTCACAGTAAATTATTACTAAGTTTAACATGCATAATCCAGTGATATGCCATTGTAAATTATTACTAAGTTCAACATGCATAATCTAACACCTTTGTTTAGCAATAAAGCAAAGGTTATTATGCACACGTTACTCCCGTCATGCCACCCTTCTCCATCATTCCAAAAACAATCGTAGAGAGTGCCTGGCACCGTCCAGCACGCAGATGTTCTTCTGTCTTATTGCCTAGAAAGCATATTTTCTCATGTCGGCTTCGGGCGGGCCTTCGATCTTTTAGCAGGCCGAAATGAAATGACAGCTCCCGATGAGATTTGTCAACGGCGGTTGTCGTCGGGCCCTGCCCCCCATTTTTTTGGAGTATGGGAAAACTGCCAATTTCTCCCGTTTTCCCCAACAGTGGGCGAGGTAATGGTGGGGGTACTTGGGGGGAGGGTGTGGGGTAGAGCTAGGGGGCTTATGAGGTTGTTTGGGGGGGGTTATCGGGGGTAGAGGGTGAAATATTTGGGGGGGGGGGGGTTTGGGGGGGGGAGGGGGGGATAGGGGATTTTTGGGGTTTTTTGGGGGGGGTTATGGGGGGTAGAGGGTGAAATATTTGGCGTTATGGCGGTTTTGCAACTTTTGCTTGCCCTTTTTCTTTTTTTCTTTTTTCGTGGGGTGTCGACCAGCTGCAGACTGGTAGGTGCCGACAAGTGGTTTGGTCAGCTGGTTGCCCCTCGGCCAATTGGGGCGCGCAAACCGTCGGTGTGACAACACTGGTACAGAGCATGTAGCTGAAGGGTCAAATGCTGAGTCTGATCTAACGTATCATGTGTGATATGGCCTGCCAAAAGGATGCATTGTCTTCCCCAAAATAAATGCACACGCCTTGTGTGAGACTGTTTAATGACGAAATCTAGTCAAGTTTTTTCTTCAGAATTTTCAGCCGAATCCAGAAAAGGGCTAGTGTGAGACTGTCAGTGTGGTCTTTTCCATCTTGAGGCAACCTCTGTGCCACATGCCCGTGCATTCCCTTCGACAACCACTGCAGAAACAGTTTGCTAACTGATGAGGTGAAATGGTTTAGGGTCGACGGGACACAATTTGCAGACGACACCTATAGACCAATTTTTGGTCGATCCTCAGCAGTGTTCTCTTAAAAAACCCATGTCTGAAGCTGTCGAAATACACTTGGCTGAGTTCGATCCTTACCCTTACATTCAAGCACCTCCAAGCTTTATCTTTGGAAAAAGGTGCAGATCTCAGGACACTAAGTCGTTATATAGTCTTTGCGGAATGGCCAACCAAGCCAACTTTCAGGCATTAAAATACGTTTTACAGAAGGATGACTTCCGTATATTATTCCTAGCATATCATAAGATTCTCTTTCTTGAAAGTTAGCAGTTTTCCAAACCCAAAATACTGAAGCTAATTTTCCATGCAACGTTGGTACTAGTAATTTACTGACAGATTGCCAAAAAAACACATGACTTCATCAACGTATGATTATGCACCTTTAAAACATGGGACCTGACATAAGGTTTGCTCAATTTCTCGAAGTCCCAAAGACCCTCCACCTCAAGCTCGGACTGCACTCACATCCAGAAACGCAAATACAGAAAAACAACACCCATAAACAACAAGGTTTCACATTCGTAAGTTCCGTGTTGATTTCAAAACTTAAACACCCTTGAATTTGAAACTTGCTTTTTCCCGTCTGTCAGCATGTACCTAGATGCTGGTCAGATTACAGATCTTGCAACACAAGCGGTTAACAAGGACCCCAGCCCCAGGTTAACCCCCCTCCCCCCAGCACTGAAAGCTGCGTTCGGTGACAAGTCTGGCTTAGAAGGCACGTGACATTTGTTATAATGACCCTGAAAAAAGTTAAAAAAACCCTGAAAATTTAGGGCTCTGTTAACCGCTTCTCGACTGAGTACATATAATATGTCCGGACGTTTAAACAGGGAATTCGTCTATTCGGATATTCTGTCATAACTTTAGAATGATGAACCATTCATCACATGTTTGAATCTTAAGGCAAGCCCCAGGGGATGAACTTATACAAACAAAGGCCAACCACATGTTCAGATCAAGGACAGGATCCAACGACGTAGGTGGGAACTAACAAGACTTCCAATTTCAAGCAACATTCCAGGCAAAAAATAAGGAAGCATCAACACCTAGGTTCATACAATGCTCATTAGAACAGAAAGAGGAACAGCATACCCATCAAATTTTGAAGTTGAATGCTCCAAAGACAAGCAGAATTCAGACAATTTAACAAAGAAACATCATAGCATCTACCTAATCAGTTCAGAGATCAAGGTTAGTGCTGCGGTTGCAGTGCCACACCCAGAAACATGAACAGCAGAACAACTAACCGATCATTTCCCCCACATAATCATCAGCGATGAATCCGATGATGTTATAATGGCTCCCCGAGAAACATGTTGATGGTAAGCGGCAGGTCTATCTTGCGCTCAGAACGAAAGAAAGTGATAAAAACTCACTGAGTAACTGTAAAATTCACTTACCAAACTTCCATTGAGCCTCCATGCCTCACTGGGAGCCTACACTTACGGCTAAACATGGCCATGGTACGTGGCAGATCGATTTCCCTCTCGGGACGAGAGAAAGTGACAGCAACGCACTGAATTACTGGAAAATTCGACTCGCAAACTTGTGCTGAACCTTGAGGCCTACCCTCGGGCCACACTTTCAGCCGGTTGCTGAAGGTCCCCTTGTATAGGGAGCAAGGGAGCATGCTTAGAAAGTAATTCTTGTGGTCTTAAGAGTTTCAGGGCATTCCATAGATGTAGATTGCAGATCAGAATTACAGGACGATGGAAGCTCCTGCCTGTCCCTGAATGAAACAGTGACGATCCTGGAGAACCCGTTTGTTCTTTGTTTTGATCCTGCAGAATCTCTATGTGGTATTGGGTACAGAAATTCCAACGTTTCCAAGACCATCCTAGGCACATATCTCCAACCAAACCGTGGCCTCCTTCCCACTCCCCTGGAAGAGCGGCACCACCAACAATCGTCAAACATACGGCATGGGATTACTTTGTAATTTTCAACAGCAAAATCTTCAGAGAACCGAGATCTGGATGCTGAATAGAGTCACCTTTTTATCCCCTACCACCTCATGCAGCCTGATTGACCAGAGACATCCCTGTCTAAAGCTACTCAATCAGATTTCCGATAAC